TGTGTGCTTATAATGAGGGATTTATATGATGTGATTGTACAGGGGGTGACTATAGAGGGGGACGACTGTATATATATCTTTATTATTTTTAAACTTTTTTTTACAATTATATTAATTATTATTAAAAAATTGTTGAATTTCTTTACTTTTTTTTTCTTTTTAACATATTTTCTAAATTTAAAGTAAATAAATTATAAGAAGTTAAAGACATTATGTTTAAGAAATGTGAAAAATAAAGTAATATCATAAAAAATTTCCCTTATTATTAAGAAATATTTTTAAAATCAAATGATCAACTCCTTATTTAAATTGAAATTTAAAAATCATTTCGAACTATGATTTTCTATGTGATAACCCATATATAACATAAATGTTATTATCAGAGCATAAAATAATACTGTAAAAAAACAGAGATCTCTGGTTATTTTTAATAATATCTGGTAAATTTTTTCAAAATCAGATATTTTTCTAAACGAAAATTATTACCAATTTTGACAATAAAATTAATTATCGATTTTATTAAAAAAAACTTTTTTTAATAGTTTTAAAAAATATTGATTTTACAATATTATTCAAATTTTTCGAACCTAATAATGTTAATGAAAGGTATTTGCTCAATAAATAAATTATTTTATTAAAATATGATAAAATCTTACAAGTTTATTAATATTTATTTAGTTTAGAAAGTAGTTCAGACAAAGATAATTTTGATGATATTTTCGAACCTGATGAATCTACTGAACCTATTCACAAACCTTTAATTTGCAAATCTATAACACGTCATTATAAACCTTCTAAAAAACTAAAATTTAATCGTAAAACTGGAGTTTTTCAGCAAGAATGTTTAAGAATTTACTCTTGGTTAATATATGATGCTTCTAAAAAGTTGATGTTTTGTTCAATTTGTAAAGCTCACAAAATGTCAAATCGTTTTGTAAAAGAAGGTATAATATAAGATTTTATTTATTAATAGTATTTACACATTTTGATACTATTAAATTAATAATAATTTAATTAAAATTTAGGATCTAAAAATATGAAAGCTTCAACTCCAGCTGAACATTTTACTAGCGATAATCATACACAAGCAAATAATCTTAAACTTGCAAAAGTACAAATGAAAAAAGTTACAAATAATGCTATTAATAAAACATATGAACATACTTGTAGTTTAATGAAAATTGTTTTTTGGTTAGCTAAAAATGATGTACTATTAAATAAATTTCCAAGTGTTATTCAACTTGGTCGAGCTCTAGAATCTCCAAAAATTATTTCTAATACCAATTCAATTACTTATGAAAATCCTGTATCTGGTCAAGATCTTTTATCTGCTATAGCTTTATCAATTGAAGAAAAGATTTGGCAAGAATTAAAAAATTCTACTTCTATTGGGATAATGATAGATGAAAGTACAGATATAGCATATAAATCACATATGATTATATATATTAAATATTGTATTTAAGAAGTAATAAAAGTTAAATAACTTCAGCTTATTCAGTTGAAAAATAAAGATGCAGATTCAATTTTTAATGTCATAATTACACTTTTTGATAATAATAGTTTGTAAAATATTTTATATTTTGTTTATATTTTAACAAATTAACAACATTTTTTAAAAAATATTTTTATAGGAATAATATCAAAAATCACTTCATTTGCATCTGATGAAGCAAGTGTAATGCTTGGAAAAATGAATGGGGTTGCAACAAAAATTGCAGAAAGAAATTCATATTTATTTACTACACATTGTATTGCTTATAGGTTGGCATTAGCATGTAATTCTGCAGAAAAAAAGTTTTTTTTTGTAAGCATGTAGAAAATATTATAAAATCAGTT